GTTAGATATATAAAACAAACACATTGAGTGTTTAAAACTCTTATGCACTGATGTGCTACTTCTGCTTTGGGAATTGATTTTCCGAATAAGTAATACATAACTACATTATACACTTCAGGCCTGGAAATGAATATTGTGTAGAACCCATACCTGGTCTCTTGTCACACAAATCTCGGTTGGAACCTCCAAATTTTTTTATTTTCTTTTGTCTGTGACGTCGTGGATGCTTCAGTGGGAACGGAATCAACACTGGTATTGGTGATGCATCACTTTTTAATCACACAACAAATCACAGATACAACATTAATACGTTTTAAAAACTTTAGTAGATATCCGAGCTGGTGACACGATCAGAGACGTTAACGAAGATGGTACTCGTCATCACTCGAAGAACAAAGTCTCCACACCTCAGCTCGCTGGCGGAGCTTCCCAAACTCTTCTCTCTGACAGGCGTCTCAACAGAAGTCTCATCTCTTTACGCATGCGTATTAGTCAGTTAAGTCGTTGCCATTCACAGTTCTTTAAAATAGGTGTTAAAATGAATTATAGTCCTCGTAGTGTGAGGAGTCTCTCTATTCGAGAGCATCATAGGTCTTTCTAGTAGAGTTCAGGAGCGTTCTTTACAACACTAACGAGAGTTTACGTAATGTCATTTGAAAGAACTGCCCCGGAGAAACATTTGTATTGAAATCAAATTCGAAATAGCTGTTACCACAGCAATTAGTGACTTCAATTTTGAGTGTTTAAATACTTTAGGTATGAAAAGTAAGACATAAATTCATGTTCAATATCTATCGGACAGATCAAGATACATGCCGTATAGATCACACCAAAAGAGGTGTTCGTCTGAATACAAGAAAAGAAGAATTACCAAATAAAGTGTGTTAAGTAGCTAAACATAATGAAAATGTAAATAAGGAAGGGGAAACACATGGTGCAGGAAGTTTTTAAAGTGATTCTTAGTTTTAAAATAGTATTTAGTTGAATTTACTGAAAGTGTTCGAGAAAATTTTTAAAATAATATTACGTATTTCTTACCAGTCTACGAATTTATTAGTAGAAAAATTATTTATGCGTACGTAAAATAATGTTAAAATATTTTATATTAAATAAAATCATATATTAGGATATACTGAGAAGTAAATATTAAAGATAAGAGTAAAAATATTCTTAAAATGTATTTTTCTCACAATGAAATTTTCCTGATTATTGCGTCTTCAAAATGCTCCATGCGCTTTAGTTTATGTTCAAAGTGATTGTAATTTGTAAACTAAATACCAATTTATACATGTAACAAAATTTAATATGCATATTTGAAGTGTATTAAAGTGGGAAATTTTGTCCAAAATTTAGGTATTTGTCAAAGAAATATTAATTAAAAACTAACATTTTATGCAATTCACTAATTGATACTAAGTTGTGTTTATAATGCATTTTCAATAAAAATAAAGCAAAAATAACAAGACACAGAAAAAAATTAAGTTGCATGCAGCATTTTGAAAAAATTCTAAAAATTAAAACGAAATTTAAAAAAAAAAAATAAATTGCTATGAGCCAGAAATATTTTTCAAGGATATTTGATATAACTAAAATATGCATGCATTCAATGTTTCATATCTCTATGACAATAATTAAAAGAAAAGTATTTGAACGTCCAATATCCCCTTAAATGTCATTCTATAAATTCACCTCACTTCTGTTCGAGAGTCTAAGGAAAGAGGATTAACTTTCAGAATTTTAAAGACAAACACTCTTTTGATACAACAAAAAATCCTACATTTTATAAATAAATTTCGATTTCTGAAATTTTTCAGTTTTACCATAACATTTCCAAAATTTAGGATAAGATATGAATAAATATATATCTTAGTGTGAGTTATCCCGAAACCTCAGATGCCTCAGTAGTCCTGTGCTGTTGAATAAGAATATATGAAGGTTGGATAATGAAAGTGAAGCACATGCATCTATATTGTTACATTTTATTAATAAAACACTGTGTAAACCATTTTTTAGATTCCAATACTGCAGTGATTCTTCTTTACAATTAATATTCAGCCCTTGCAGGATTTTTAAAACTACTTCTAATATTTTTTCGACATATTACTTATTACATTTCATGATGACAGAATGGGACCATGTTTTTTACCTTAAACACTAACATACCCCAGATCGATTTATTGATCTTGAGATTATGCAAGACTTGAGAAAGTGAAGTTTCTTTTCATATTTTTTAAATTTTTGTCACCATTTCTCTTTGATAACTGGTTCACTGTCATTCTGGTATAAAGAATTTTTTTGGCACACTGTGTTTAAACTAATAGATTGACTAAGCCTACAAAATAAATTAATAGCTTTTGACAATGATATGATTATCAAAATCTATCAAGAACTCTGCGGTTCGAGCATCAGAGAACTCGAATTAGATGGAGAATTGTATGATTCTAGCTGTTACCTGCGCAGATTTGTCTCAGAAGACAAGAAAGGAAGAGTAATTGATCGCTGCATATTACGCATTTTTTGCACTCTGTTCTGTACATATTTTGCACTTATACTCGTAATACCATAAAAGCCGTGTTTAGCGTGGCCACTAGTTATTAAATGTTTTGCCATGGCTGCCTGACCGTAAAAATTAATCAGATGAAGCTTGAGATATGCTATGCTTGTAAAAAATAGCTAAAGTAAAGGGAATGTCATAACTTCAGTAATCGTTGTTTTATAGTTTTTGGAGGGGTATGCAATTAAATCTGATATTCTAACATTCTTTCAGATAACATTTTGTTAAATAAATACACTCTTTTTTAAAAAATTCGAAACATCATGAAGGAAGTGGTTGTTTTTGATGAAACTGATTATGTGTACAGCTCATACGCAGATAAAAAAATGATCAAGAAATCATAATACCTGTTCACGGCTCACAATCGCCCATTGAGTGTTCAAATTATTAGATGGTCGAACCGCCCCTGGCGGCAATGCATGTTTGAATTTGTCGAGGCAAGGAGTGGTAGAGGTTCCTAATGTCATCCTGCGACACATTCTGCCAGGTCGCTCTGGAGCTGCGATATTTTGTGGTGCCCGAATCTGGCGGCCTACCATGCCCCAGACATGCTCGATCGGTGTAAGGTCTGGAGACCTTGCTGGCCAAGGAAGAGTGTCAACCGCACAGAAACAGTCCAGAAGTATGACAGCGGTATGTAGCCTGGCATTACCTTGTTGTAAAATGGCCCCAGGATGACGTGGCATGAAGGGATCTTGCAACCGGCCGCAGGATGATATCAGCATCACACCAAAACACTAAGGGTTTTGGTTGCATGCCTTTGTAAAACAAAGGCTGATTGGGACCTCTGTCCCTGTCCTCTCCAGACACGAAGACGGTGGTCATCTGCTTCAAGAGTGCATGCCATGGCAGCCGTGATGATCGGCTGCGACACCACTCCAGATGACTCTGTCGATGTTGTGGGGTTAAAGGCAAAAGTCTTAAAGGCCTCTGTGAGTGTAACACCACCGGCTCACACAAGCGCCGTGAGATGGTAGACGGTACCAAGGGAGGTATAGACGTGGCTGCAGTGCGTTGAATAGTTGACAATGAAACCGTTGGGGCGGTTAGGGCCTGGCGAACGATCATCCTATCTTGTCTCGCATTTGTGCTCCTTGGCCTTTCAGAGCCTTCATTTCGTCGGCAGTTTCCTTGTACCAACCATTGCTGCCAACATCTTTGTGTCTGTAAGCTGCAGGTTACGGCCGATTGCTCAGTATGACCACTCAGCTTCACGCAACCCTACAATGCGACCACGTTTGAAGTCGTTTAGTTGTCTTTAAGGTCTTTGATATCGTCGTAATGGCATCTTTAGTTGTTTTTTACGGAATTATAATGGCAACAAAAAAAATATAAATTTTCCGCCTCTTTTACTGGTTTTATACTTTGTGACTTGAGCACTCGAAATGCGCGCTATGATTGCAATTCCTGTTCATTTGCCTTGAAACTTTGATCATTTGCATGTTCGATCAATATGTTTTTACATACCAAGTTTCGTCGCGATCGCAAAAGTCCTTTTTGGTGCTTCGATTATTTTGCAAAAGAGTGTATATTAATCAAATCTCTTTACTTTTCTATATAGAGATGTGGCCTTAGATACTGGGGCTCTCGACACATTAAAAAATCCTGCTGTCACGATAACATATATCAGCTAGACGAACACCAAAAATTTTCCTCATTTCAACTCTGTTATACTTTGCATTTTTATCTTTTATTCCTCAATGTTTGAAAACAATACCTATAATACTGCTGAAAATTCTGTTTTCATCGTCTGCTGCTGTTGTTAAATTCAGAATGATTCAGCTTTCTTGAATTGAATTACTTACGCTGGCTTGAAATTTACCCGCCAAGTGCTTCTTAAATTTCATTGCATAACTCCTTCATTATCTCTTTCAAGAGTATATCTATTGCTTAGAATGGCTCATAGTTAAATGATTTCATTAGTTTGCTATTATATTAAAGCTTACTGCCTTTTGAAATCTACAAATAATTCACGTTACAGGAGTTGTTGAACTAGATAATGTCTACGACAAAAATAATGAAAATAAGGAAAGAGATTTTTGTGAAAGTAAAGAAAAAAAAAGAAAAGATAATTTTTTTTCCATTTTCCGATGCTTAATTTATGTATATTATTCAGAAAATGCCTGTTGCTTTTCGTAAAATAAAGCAAATTCTAAGAAATGTTCTTCTGTTATGTAGATTTAATTCGCTTTTTGTAAAATATTTTATGCTGTCATTAATAGTTTGATGTAAAATCAGTGCTTAGTTTTTCTCTTTGTATTTTTGTGTTTGATTCTTCGTAAATTTTGTAACTGAAACCCCTCTTTTTATATCTTTCCTTACCTTTTAATATACCGGATAGATCCAAACACTGACTACACTCATTGAACAGTTATTAAAAATTGCATATGTACTAATACACATATAAAGACAAACGTTTTGAAGAAACAACATTTTTATCTTCTAGATTAATGCAACGGCATATAGCATTGGATACCAGAAAGAGCTTCTGAATGAAACGCTTTTATCTCAATTATACACGAACGTAAGTAATAATAATTCTTTTAAAATTTTTAAAGCAATTTCAGTAAGTCTTAAAACAATTTCCCCTGGAGAAATTAATGGTTTTTCAAATGCTTTTAACAATATATTTTTATTACTTCCACAGTTAACACTTGATGGCGAAAGTTATTTAAACAAAACTCTGCAACTGCGTAAATGGAAAACCGATTATTCTTTCTCTCAGCTTCGAAGAAATGACGTAGAAATCGAGTATGTATCATTTTTAAATAAAATTGCAATGTTAAACTTTTGTACTAATTTTCGGTTTACTACGAAGTAATTTATGGAATATTTTTTAAATAAAGAATTCCAGAATCTTTTTACTGTTAAAATAAATTTTCGGTTTCACTACTTTTACTAATACTGTTACTAATTTTCGGTTTACTACGAAGTAATTATGGAATATTTTTTAAATAAAAATTTTCAGAATCTAAAACGATATACACTGCTTGCCATTTAAATAGCAACTCCCGGAAGGGAATGATCTGACTAACGTCAAAATCACATGAAAGGAAGAAGTGGTTGGGATATGCAAATGATTAGTATTTCAGCGCATTTTAGACGACGCAGGAGGAAGAAACGACACCTGAAGCACCGCCTAAAAGAGAAGTTGTGCAATGGATTTCTCATTCGGAAAGCGCTTTGTAAGTTCGGAGTTTGCTCAGACTATCGTCTTATGCCTCGAATAATAAGAAGAAATGCTTAGCAGCATTCGATAGAGGCAGGAACGTTGCTTATCGAGAGTATCGATTATCTTTTCCGTGATATCGCCCGTCACCCTGGTCGATATCCAACGATTGTCATGCGAATATGGAATCAATGGCTTGTTGAAGATCATACTGAATGGCATGCAGGATCTTAACTTCCTCCCATGAATAACACCCGCGAGTACAGACATACTGTGAGGCCATCCCTGAAAAACCGTACAACCACATCAAGGACCATTAGGAAGGAAACGGGCATGTTTACAGTACGCCCAGTATCCGCTCGTACGGTGCCTCGATGTTCGAAGCAGCGTGGACTATCAGCATGGCGAACATTACCTAGGCTTCCCTTGACAATGCAACACAGAGAGAGACGGCGGCACTGGTGCGATAAAGCTGCATACAGGATTGGCGCAATGACGACTTTTCAGACAAGTCTCGGTTCAGCGTGCGTTAATGGCCATATACGTGTCTGGAGTCTCCGAGGAGACCGCACGTCGCCTGCTTGTATCGGTATCGACATAGGGACTCTTCACCTTGTGTGATTGTTTGGGCAGCCATTGCATACACGACACGCACATCTCTAATTCGGATCGACGGTAATTTGAACGCAGATCGGTATATTTCTGACATCTTCCGTCCAGTGATTGTGCCATATCTTTGAGGTCAGGCAAACGTCATGTTCCAACAAGATAACGCAAGACCACATGTCGCACGTCGTTTTCTAGCCTTCCTCGATACACACTATTGCTGCCCTGGCCTGCATGTTCTCCAGATCTGTCACACATTGAAAATATCTGATCATGGGTTTCTGGGAGATTCGCCCGCCATCCCTCTCCAGCTATTACGGTTGAGGAAGTGTGGCATAGACTTGAAGCAGCATGGAATGAGTAGCTCATTTCAGTCATCCAAGCCAAATTCGACTCCATGCCTAGTGAGTTAGAGACCATTTTAGCTGCTAGGTGTGACAGTAGTTTCTACTAAATTCGATCCCTTTAAATCCCTAAAATACTTACAAATTTAATAATTTAATCTTCATGGCTTACTCATTACGTACAATAAATATTTTTTATTTGCTTTCCTTCATGGTTTTGAAATTTTAATGGCCAGCAGTGTATACTAGAAAGCCTCATAATCACAACGAAACAACTCTTTCTCGGGTTAATGACAAAAACGTCTGGATTAATTAATCTTAATTATTTTAAAATTTCCATTTTAAATCATTTTTAATTTAATTTTAAGTTTAATTTTTAAATTTTCATTTTAAATATTTTAGCAAACAGTTAATTTTTAACAATCACTTAATAATTTAGTATTTTGCCAAACAAAAAATAACTGAGACTTTAAATTTCTTTAGCTGATTAAATTCATTACATGCACGAAAAAGCCTTTTTAATTGCCCAAACTGCACATGTATATCCTTCTAACATACTACGTTCATTTATCTGTAATTTTAAAATTAACAGGTAAGAATATTTAATCAGTGAGAAGTAACCAGTTTCTAAAATGTTAAATTAAATACGCTGAAAATGTATTATTTTCTCAAAAAATCGATTTAAGCAATAAAGTGTATTAAAGATTTACTTCTTCAATAAATCGAAATTTTTAACTTTACTTAATAACACCTAGAGGTCTTACTACTCACTTACTAAAAGGTTTGATGGACACTGTTTGCATTAGCTCACCTGAGTGGTTAAATGTATCATGGTGACCGTGTGCCATCTTTGTGGTTAAATGTAAATTTTGAAATATCAGCCGTAATTCAGATTCCTAAATAACTGTAAGTCAAGTCATTATCAAATGTGATTATCTGAGATGCGAAACGGCAGAAAAAGGAAAGAGTAAGTCATATAAATATTATAGTTACTACTGGCTGAACTGTGCACGAAATGAAAAATATGCTACACCCTTCGTCCCTAAGTGAACTAATAATGAAAAGTATGCTATGCCCTTTCCACATTCTTTGAAGTAAAGAATCTCGTTACTTTATCTGGCAGTCTGATGAGTGATTCTAGATAGGAGATCACTTCGAGTGTATTTTATCAGTTATAAAATTTGTGGTGAAGGCAAACTGGCTTAAAACCTATCTATTACTTCCTGTACCCATAAAAATGAAAGCTGAGATATGCCTTAGTATTCTTGATAAACATCCAAACCTCTGACAATTATTTAGGGAACGGCGGTTTCTGTGTCAAGAGCGTACCTCTTCTGTACACACAGAGAAATTTATGCTACAGTGGTTTGAAGGTTCGTTGGTTTGTTTGGTTTAGTGTGAAAAACCGTATTGTCCTTAATTGCTCCCTTCTCTCAGCCTTGCAGAATATGTCTGGAAAAAACTAGAGCACAGCTAACTCACTCGGCTAAGTCTCCCATTTTCAGAGTCTGGATCCGTCGCAATTCTAATAGATGAGTAGGAGGAAGTTCCTGAAGACAATATTAAAAGCTGATAGAAAGAACCGGCTGTGATTGATATAAACAGTAGACCAAAATCCTGTTTCTATGTACTTCTTGATTTCCTGATTCTACGGGTGTGTGTCAGATATTTTTGGCCTTATCCTTTAAAACAATATTTATGTTATAATAATTAAACGAAAAATAATTATTAATTAATAACTTAATATTTTCTCGGGAATATTTCTTACTATTTTTCCTGAATGTACGCAAATACGCCACCTGTATGTGTTATATGTATTATTCTTTCATTTACCTCAGCTTATATTGTATTTGTGCGCATTATGTGAAAAACATTGGACTTCCATATTAATCATTGAATGCTCAAGAACACTGTAGCTAAACATTTTCTTTATTCTTTTTCATTACTGTTGCTAGAAATATTTACTCTTTTGTTCCGCAGCCAGAGGGAGTGCCAACTTTCTTGTCGTATGTTATCTTTTCTAGTGATAAATTAATTCACTGTTTTCAGAATAAAGGCATGCTAAGAAAGAACTGCTGTGTAGCTTATAGTAAATATGTAACACCATATAGTAAAAATCCTTTCCTTATTTCAATATAATGGATATTGAACCTTGTAGGAAGAACAAAGCTAAATTTTTAGAATGAACAAAATACTTTTATTTGAATTTTAGAACAGAACCAAAAAAATAAATGCTGCAGCTCTTAACTATTAAAATTTTAAACTCTTAACTACTACAGTTAAAACTCTTACAACTATTTAAAAAAATATATTCCGAATTCTCTTCTTGTTGCCACACCGTAAAATGCAAGTTCTTGTCCTATTATTTATATTTCGCGTTCTCTTTAAGTCACGATCTTTACAAGTTATGATCTTTACAAGTCACAATCTTTACAAGTCATGATCTTTACAAGTCCCCCCACAAGAAGTACATTCGTCACCGTAGAGACAATGCTGCTCAGAATTCATTGAGAGAGAAAGAGTTAACTGCTAACCTTGACAAAGCATCAGCATTCCCATGTGAACTTCCTTTGCATTGAATATGTCATTGAATATGTCACAGTCATGTTATACCGTTGTAACGCTAAGGCCCAACGAGACAGTTTAACACCATGAGGGGCACTTTGGATCAAGTAGGTGAGGGGATTGTGATCAGACACAATCTGCACTTTGGCACCGAAAATCCATATGTCAAATTTTTTCAAGGCTTCGATGACACAAAAATGCTTCTAGTTCGAAGGTTGACCATCGTTATTGACAGGGCGTCAGTTTCTTGCTGAAAAATGCTATGAGTATTTCTTTGCCATGTTCGTCGTTTTGAGCTAAACACGCATCAATTGCGAAAGCAGATGCATCCGTATAGAGTTGAAAGGGCTTGCTGATGTCTGGAGTATGCAGAGATGGCATTTTAATCAACTCTTCTTTAAGTTTGTTGAAAGCTACTTATTTCTCAGAGTCCCATGGAATATTATTTGGACACTCTTCTTTGTAAGGTTTGTTAGAGGTAAAATAATCTCAGAAAAATTTGGGATATAATCCCTATAGTAGCTTGCTAGCCCTAAAAGAATTCTGACTTCTTTTTTAGTGGTAGGCTTAGACAGATTTCTGATGACTTCTACCTTCTCAGGATCTGGAGAGTGAGTGCCAGAACCTATTACATGTCCTAGAAACTTCACGTGACTCTTTCCGAAATCACACTTTTCTAGATTTGCAGTTAGACCTGCTTTTCTCAGTGTCTGAAACACTTGGTCGATGTGATAGAGGTGGCCATCCCAAGTTTCAGAAAATATTGCCACATCATCAATATATGAACGGCAGTAGTTCTTATGGTTTGCAAGCACCTTATCCATCGATTTTTGGAAGGTACTTCCACCATTTTTCAAACCGAAAGGAAGAACTTTCCATTGGTAATGGCCGGAATGAGTGATAAATGCTGTGTAGGGTTTAGCTTCTTCTTTCATAGGAATCTGCCAATACCCCTTGGTTAAATCGAGAACTGTTATGAATTTGGCTTTCCCTATTTCGAATAGTAAATCTTTAGCAATTTTCATCGGATAGGCGTCCGGAACTGTGAAGCTATTTAAAAGCCTGAA